CGGTCAACCGCTTGCACACATCCGTTGTGCATGTCTGGCGAATCACTACTACAATAATGTAGAGTCTACACCGGAAGATTCACGCAGTGTGGTGAGAGAGTGTGTGTTCAGTGCCAATACTGGCAATAGCATCGGATCCAAATTCATGTTGCCTGATGATTGCATAGGCAGCTCAGAGTAGCACTAGCAGAAAACTAGCATTGCCCTTTGTCGTTCTGGACATGTACTGGGAGCAGTAGTAGGGCGAAATAATTGTGCATTTCATCAAACAACATGTACCTGGAATAGTACTCGGAACAGTAGACTACATGAAGTAGTAGAATGCATACATTATACATTATACATTATACATTATACATACTGTCAACAATACACCACGTGACATCTTCATTACAGTTCATATGACCGTGTACTGGTATAAATAGTTGTGTAGAGTAGAGCTCCATCTTAGTAGCACCACGTGACTCGGTGACTCGGTGACTGGGTTGTAGATCTACCAGTGCTGTGTTTCACGTAGCAATCATGTTCTGATGCTCATCGTCCATTGCCTCACCGGCTGTGTGATGATTTCATACCGGTCATGCTGCACCTCTGTAACTCTCAGTAGATCTACGCGTAGAGACGCCCAGCGTTTCGATATCCCTTATTGGCATTGCGCTACACTATTCTACATACGGTGTGACCAGACAATGAAGGCTGCATGCCTATATATGTACATGTACACAGGAGGAGGCATGATCCCGTCCACCGCAGAGTGTGCTCAACAACAGTGCTCTGGGATGCACTGGAGCTAGTACACGATTGAAGCGGTTGAGTCTTCACCAAGGAAACGTATCCGTTGTTACTCAGACTTTCTTGAGTCAATCTACAGTGTATCATGAAGTAAATGAACTGGACCTTGTGCGCGCGCACGCGCGCGTGTGTGTGTGTGGTGTGTGTGGCTGTGTCGGCGGCTCTGTAGTGATGATCTGTCAGCACTCTTATTGCACTTTGTACTGTCATTGAGCACTCTAAGTCTGACCTGCCGTCAGAGACAGAGTATGCATATGCACGTAGGCAGTGACGGGCATTCCGCCTCAAGAATACCCTACGCCTACGGGAGTGTGTTGCGCGTCCATTGCCATCGATACTTTTCAGTAAGAGTTGGGAACAGTGTCTGGAGATTCTGTACCAAGGTTCCTCATCCGGGATCCATTTTTGATGTGTCTCTTCGTGAAATAATTTAATTCATAGAAAGTACCATTCAGACATGCACTGGTGTAGCAGTGGCTAAGGCATGCAGTAGTGTCGTAGTACTAGTGGCTAAGGCATCGTCTCAGTGTTACATTCAGGCATGCATTAGTGTAGCAGTGGCATCGACTCGTCTCAGTGTTACATTCAGGCATGCATTAGTGTAGCAGTGGCATCGACTCGTCTCAGTGTTACATTCAGGCATGCATTAGTGTAGCAGTGGCATCGACTCGTCTCAGTGTTACATTCAGGCATGCATTAGTGTAGCAGTGGCATCGACTCGTCTCAGTGTTACATTCAGGCATGCATTAGTGTAGCAGTGGCATCGACTCGTCTCAGTGTTACATTCAGGCATGCATTAGTGTAGCAGTGGCATCGACTCGTCTCAGTGTTACATTCAGGCATGCATTAGTGTAGCAGTGGCATCGACTCGTCTCAGTGTTACATTCAGGCATGCATTAGTGTAGCAGTGGCATCGACTCGTCTCAGTGTTACATTCAGGCATGCATTAGTGTAGCAGTGGCATCGACTCGTCTCAGTGTTACATTCAGGCATGCATTAGTGTAGCAGTGGCATCGACTCGTCTCAGTGTTACTTTGATGAATACCGGTGTACATAATATTTATGTGTATGCCTGTTCAACAGAATCTGAGATACAGCGTACATCATGCACATGTACATGTCACGTGCTCGCACACATTAACACTAGGGGTGAAACAATTATACCGAATATTCGAATACTCGTTTGGATTTTTCGAATATAATCGTACTCGGAATAAATCAGAGTACTCGCTCATACATGGTACATACATTTACCACAGAAGTCTGCAGTTTCAGAGCAGCAGTCAGCGGATATTGATGTGCCGACTGTGTGGTGAACATTTTGTTCACGAGTAGAGAGAGCCCAAATGACCCACCAACCAATACACCCGAGAAAAGAACTTCCAATCGGTTCAATCAGGGTTGTATCGTGTGTTTTTGAGGCGGTTGGCGTGCGATTTTTAGGATATCAAGAATACTCGAATACTCGAATATTCGATCGGAGAAAATCAGAGTACTCGAACTCGGGATCTCAGTGCTAACTTTCACCCCTAACTTTCACCCCTAACTTTCACCCCTAACTTTCACCCCTAACTTTCACCCCTAACTTTCACCCCTAACTTTCACCCCTAACTTTCACCCCTAACTTTCACCCCTAACTTTCACCCCTAACTTTCACCCCTAACTTTCACCCCTAACTTTCACCCCTAACTTTCACCCCTAACTTTCACCCCTAACTTTCACCCCTAACTTTCACCCCTAACTTTCACCCCTAACTTTCACCCCTAACTTTCACCCCTAACTTTCACCCCTAACTTTCACCCCTAACTTTCACCCCTAACTTTCACCCCTAACTTTCACCCCTAACTTTCACCCCTAACTTTCACCCCTAACTTTCACCCCTAACTTTCACCCCTAACTTTCACCCCTAACTTTCACCCCTAACTTTCACCCCTAACTTTCACCCCTAACTTTCACCCCTAACTTTCACCCCTAACTTTCACCCCTAACTTTCACCCCTAATTAACACACAAGTACATTGTAGAGTACAGTTTTGTTATTTTCCAACATCACTCAACACCATCGCCTCTGACTTGACATAACAATGTCATCACTCAACACCATCGCCTCTGACTTGACATAACAATGTCATCACTCAACACCATCGCCTCTGACTTGACATAACAATGTCATCACTCAACACCATCGCCTCTGACTTGACATAACAATGTCATCACTCAACACCATCGCCTCTGACTTGACATAACAATGTCATCACTCAACACCATCGCCTCTGACTTGACATAACAATGTCATCACTCAACACCATCGCCTCTGACTTGACATAACAATGTCATCACTCAACACCATCGCCTCTGACTTGACATAACAATGTCATCACTCAACACCATCGCCTCTGACTTGACATAACAATGTCATCACTCAACACCATCGCCTCTGACTTGACATAACAATGTCATCACTCAACACCATCGCCTCTGACTTGACATAACAATGTCATCACTCAACACCATCGCCTCTGACTTGACATAACAATGTCATCACTCAACACCATCGCCTCTGACTTGACATAACAATGTCATCACTCAACACCATCGCCTCTGACTTGACATAACAATGTCATCACTCAACACCATCGCCTCTGACTTGACATAACAATGTCATCACTCAACACCATCGCCTCTGACTTGACATAACAATGTCATCACTCAACACCATCGCCTCTGACTTGACATAACAATGTCATCACTCAACACCATCGCCTCTGACTTGACATAACAATGTCATCACTCAACACCATCGCCTCTGACTTGACATAACAATGTCATCACTCAACACCATCGCCTCTGACTTGACATAACAATGTCATCACTCAACACCATCGCCTCTGACTTGACATAACAATGTCATCACTCAACACCATCGCCTCTGACTTGACATAACAATGTCATCACTCAACACCATCGCCTCTGACTTGACATAACAATGTCATCACTCAACACCATCGCCTCTGACTTGACATAACAATGTCATCACTCAACACCATCGCCTCTGACTTGACATAACAATGTCATCACTCAACACCATCGCCTCTGACTTGACATAACAATGTCATCACTCAACACCATCGCCTCTGACTTGACATAACAATGTCATCACTCAACACCATCGCCTCTGACTTGACATAACAATGTCATCACTCAACACCATCGCCTCTGACTTGACATAACAATGTCATCACTCAACACCATCGCCTCTGACTTGACATAACAATGTCATCACTCAACACCATCGCCTCTGACTTGACATAACAATGTCATCACTCAACACCATCGCCTCTGACTTGACATAACAATGTCATCACTCAACACCATCGCCTCTGACTTGACATAACAATGTCATCACTCAACACCATCGCCTCTGACTTGACATAACAATGTCATCACTCAACACCATCGCCTCTGACTTGACATAACAATGTCATCACTCAACACCATCGCCTCTGACTTGACATAACAATGTCATCACTCAACACCATCGCCTCTGACTTGACATAACAATGTCATCACTCAACACCATCGCCTCTGACTTGACATAACAATGTCATCACTCAACACCATCGCCTCTGACTTGACATAACAATGTCATCACTCAACACCATCGCCTCTGACTTGACATAACAATGTCATCACTCAACACCATCGCCTCTGACTTGACATAACAATGTCATCACTCAACACCATCGCCTCTGACTTGACATAACAATGTCATCACTCAACACCATCGCCTCTGACTTGACATAACAATGTCATCACTCAACACCATCGCCTCTGACTTGACATAACAATGTCATCACTCAACACCATCGCCTCTGACTTGACATAACAATGTCATCACTCAACACCATCGCCTCTGACTTGACATAACAATGTCATCACTCAACACCATCGCCTCTGACTTGACATAACAATGTCATCACTCAACACCATCGCCTCTGACTTGACATAACAATGTCATCACTCAACACCATCGCCTCTGACTTGACATAACAATGTCATCACTCAACACCATCGCCTCTGACTTGACATAACATCACTCAATACATGTACCATCGCCTCTGGCTTGACATAACATCACTCAACACCATCGCCTCTGGCTTGACATAACATCACTCAACACCATCGCCTCAAGCCACAAGCTTTTGCATCGAAAGCATTGAGCCACCAATGGTGCAGAACTACACGCGTAAAGTGTGTTTTGTTTTATCAATGCCAATAAAAGATACAAGTTGGAGAATACGGCGATGGAGACAAGTGTTGGAATGAGCGATATGATTAGCATAATCCGTGATTTGCAAATTCACAAAAATTAATATTCACATGACGTACATAGATAAAATCGACAGTTAGAATTACTGTTAAAGTGGAGAATCACTAACGTACTGAAGTCTGCGATCATAATGTACATGTACATGATAGTTTATGTTCTTCAAGTATATTATATACAGTGTCGGATAATTATGACTGTGTTTTCTGTATTTTCTGTGTTTTCTTATTTTTCTAACACAATAAGCACATACGCTTCTCGAGAGGTGTATTGTCCTCGAACACATGCTACAGAGTCGCAATGTGATCCTTTCAAAGTCATGTCAAGGCTTCAAGTTTTGACAGCAATGTTACGCACGTGTCGCACTTAATTAAGAATGCATAATGCAGCAGCAAGTGTGCACAAGAAGTGACACCTCAAGTCGTCAAGACAATAGCTAACTTTAAACTAGTAAACGTGCAATTATTAGTTGGACTTGTTCTTAATCCACTACCACCGGTGGTTATAGCAACGACGACACTGGAAGGTGAACGTAAATAGCGCACATAGCAGCTAGAAGAGCGCCCGTGATACGTCCCACGCTCCATGCCTGTGCAGTAGCTGCTGTGGATGCTAATCTGCTGCGGATACCTTGAAACTCAGGATTATGCTGTAGGTAGTACTCCACCGCCCTCAGTTCGAGGTTACGTAATAACTGTGACGTCAACATCAGCTCAGGTTCATCATCTGTATCCAGAGATAGTGAACTACTCACTCCTGCAGGCATCTGTATGGCAGCAGCAGCAGCAGCAGCAGCAGCAGCAGCAGCAGCGTCGTTGCGCGATTCCGCTGATAGCGAATCAGCATCAGAATCTGACTCAGAGATCGAGATCGATCCACCACCGGGAGGAGCAGCAGGGGCTGCTGGTGGAGCTGGCGGCGGCTGAGGTTGAGCTGGTGGTGCTTGAGAAGGGGGTGCCGCTTGCGTTGGTTGAGGTTGAGCGGGTGGTTGTGCGGGTGATTGTGCGGGTGGCTGTGCGGGTGGTTGTGTGGCTGCAGGTGGCGCCGGGGCTTGTGTGGCTGGTTGCTGAGGTTGAGGCTGAGCTGGTGGTTGCGCTGGTCCAGACATACTACTCATACTACTCATGCTACCGCTAGAGCTACGCACGTGATGACGTAACAACTTGATCTGCTGTGGTGATGGCTCATGTCCAGCATCCTTCAGCTGCTGACGTAGAATTTCGATCAGCACTGATGACGTCTCGCTGTCACGAGCCGACGATGATGTTATGTATAGCATAGATGTGTGAAGACATAGGATAGCTACGACATGGGATGTTGTCACTGCAAACGTCTTCATCTTTACTAACTGAACCCTCGTAATTAGATAACCAATTATACTTGTGAAACCTACAAAAATATCTATCGAGTTCAAGGACGAGCCACCACTGCTGTCAGGCTCATTCAGCTCAGCAAGGCAAGACGCAAAGGTAGATTGCGGTGTTCAACACTGGTTTGCGTTAGCCTGTGGAACTTTCACCAAGATTAAAGGTTGGAGAAAAGCAAGAAGAAAGACACTTCGGCAACCAGAGACAAGAATTTCCCAGAACATAGGGCTGGTGTGGGCTTTTATCCTCCCCCGCAAGGCATACGGAATTTGCTAGAGGCTGAAGGTTTGTCACGTTGGACTCGCGCTGTGACTCGCAGGACATCGCGCAGGCGGGTTTGTCCTAATACCGAAGCCAGGGAAGCTGTCTTAGAATAATATCCAACATTGACACAATCCCTCATCATCGCTTACTAACATAGCTGTACAATTCACATACCACTCTCCCATCACCAGAAACAAACACGGCTATCTATCTAACAGCTCGTTCCGTGGAGGTGTGCCTCAATCGTTTGTATCAAGCTAGCATCAGAAAACAACCGCTATGTTGAACACAACCGCTATGTTGAAAACAATCGCTATGTTGACGCTCCCCTAACGAGACCCAGTGAATTTTTAAAGACGAAGCGTGGAATAGTGTTACCAACCTTCCCATTCTGCCTGACCTACCCTTAGTCCCGGTAGTGGCCAGTACGCTCAAGAACCATCTTTCTCCAGGTATTAAACTAACCATGCACGGCTTACGTCGTGATAGGCTGAAAGAAGAAGCCCCAGTGCGGGTCTAGCGACATTATCAGCTCACAGTAAAATCTAACTGTTTTTCTAAGCGTCTAGTCGTTGAATAGCACTTGTCGTTAATGATGACCTGAGGAATGTGTTAGTGTAGTGTACACGCTGTGAAACTGTACATGGACGTAGATGAAACTGTACATGGAGTCACTGTGATGAAACTGTACATGGACTGTGGTGAAACTGTACGTATCCATGATAAATTGATAATAGTATACTGTGATAGGAAGCGTATACAATCAGGTACATAATAATAATATTATGTGGCGTTAATCATGCCCCGGTCCGTGTACGCGAACATGATTGTACATGTAGTTTTAAGTAATCACGATCGGTACAGGGATATGTCGGATAGCCTATTATGGATTATGCTTCGTAAACCCCGCTCGAAGCACTGAAATCAGCAAGGCCATACAAAGCTTGTGGCGAGCAAGTCCCTGCAGTCTACTACTCTTCCTTATTAATATGAATACATCGAACACTGGTGAAATCTACAGTCAACTTTGCTAATAATGACTGCGGATGTAACGACAATTCGCTAATAACGACTGCGGATGTAACGACAATTCGCGAATAACGACAGAATTTCCATGCAGAGAGCAAAGTCCCATCCCACTGTCATAATAATGAGACTTCGGGTATAACGACACTTCGCGAATAAAGACACCTTTTTGATGCCCCGCCGAGTGTCGTTATAAGCGAAGTTCACTGTACCCGAAATGTACCCACTTCTGTTGATTTGTTAGTGTCACCATCCATCCAGGTACGGTAATCCAGGCCAGGGGGAGAATGTGCTTGAACGATATAAATTGTACTTGTAGGCTGTGCTCAGGGGATGTCCGTTCCAATCGTCCCTCGGGGTGGGTTCGAATTACGCACCTTCGCACATACATGATTGTACATTATCGCTGCATGGTCTAGTCTCAAGCGTGTTTATCAAACACGCAGGTTTTACGGCCACTAATGCAAGCCCATGTACTGCATAGAATGTCCTATTCCTATCGTATATTCTATCGTATAATCCTATTGTATATTCCTACTCCTATTGTATCCATTATGTTCCATTCCTTTCTCTAGTTATTATTGGCTCAACATCCGAGTTTCAACTTTCTATTCCGAGGTCGAAATGCAACGTCGGTTCAGGTAGTCTGAGTCTCGTGTTGTCTCGTGTTGTCTCGTGTTGTCTCGCTGACTTTTGGCAGCCATGCACATGTACATGTATGATTTTCTCGTGCACAATAATTTAAGGACAGGAGGCTAGAGGCTGGGGGTGCTTTAGTTTCTGAATGATGATTTTCGCAGGGAGGAATCATCAGGCAATAGCGTGACTACCACTCCATGCTCAGTGCTTTGTTCATAGAGTACTCACTACCCGTGCTTGTCCTGAGTACTGGTTTCTCGCGTGTGACCGTACCGTCATGACGCTATACTTATTACAATGATTATGTAGAACAAACGCAACGTCAATCATTTATACGGATACAACGGTTAACAGTGTGCGGCTATAATGTGGAAGACTAAGTATTCGTTGAACGGCTTGCTGCATGAATCCATAGCTACTAGCTGCAGTGGTATATGCGTCTAAGATACATTCAGTTTATTGAGTATCAAGATTATGGTCAATTTTATTCACAACACTTCGCTTTTCCTAATTCCTGGCACCTGATAATGCTATGGTACATGTACGTATACGTCTGTGGACTTCTCCAGCACTAGTGCACTATCCATTACAAGCTAGACGTAAGCCATAAACGGCTTCGCACTCGCCACATCATGGCGGAATATCCCACTCAACACTAACACCCAGCTGCAGCTGCTAAGTCACAAGTGTCTACAAGCAAGGCTCGCTAGTTGAAATGGCGCAGCGCCGTACTAAGCAATGCATAGTGGCTAGATAGAAGTAAATGCGTGCCATGATCAAAGCGAGAAATCTTATCTCCCGTGTTCGGGTATAACGGTGATGGTACATAACACCGCTTGGGCCAATACAAGATCACAGTGGAGTACGCACCGCTAATAGACATGTGCACTATAGCCTTGGACGGTGCACAAAAGGAGAAGGAAATGTTCCTGCTGCAACTCTGGGTTTCACGGGTTAGCGATCATCAGACCGCGTTGTACAGTGTAGCCAAAAGGCGAGATAGAGAATACTCACTAATAATATAGCAGGGTGCATTGTGATAGCGTGCTGCACCTCATTGCTGCTCGCTAATCCTAGACCTCTAGTAGTACGGGACAGACCTTGGCTGACCGCTACAGTCAATGAACCTTCAAGACACTAATATCTATCAGTTCTCGTTAATATTACCACAGCTATCTTAGCAATGAGATACTAGTACCAGCACGGAGGGAAACTGACACAAGACTCTCCTGGCCTGCAGCGATGCTCCTCACGCGCTCGAAGACGGCCACCACCTTCCAGTCCGATGAGAGTAGGAAGTCATTTCTCAAGACTCTCGCTGAGTGACCAGTTGGAGGAACTTCTGTGCCCGTTTTTCTTCTTTCCCTCACGAGGACGTTTTCTCCATCAGTGTCTTCCCTCATTCAAACTAGTTGAAGTTACCCTAATTCAAAGTCTATATTTGAAGTCTATATTTGAAGCTGGTGTCACCTAAGGGTCTTGCTTGGAAACCCCAAATATAGGACTTAGCAGAAAGCGATTAGCTTTGGCTATTCTAGTATTTCTCATACTGAAAGAATAAGGAGACATCGCGATCAGGGACAAGATGGTGGTGTTCGGATGTCGATTAAACTTCCCACTTGCCCTGGTCGGGCTTCTTGTTGCTATGGTGTGTACGGTGCATAATGACTGTCACGTGACAGCAGCGAGTAAAGCTGCGCATCTCAAGAGCAAAACTGTGCATCTGAATAAGGCTAGATCTGTGCATGTGAAGAAGGTTGGATCTGTGCAGGTGAAGAAGGCAAATTCAGCAACTACAAGAAGCAGTGAGGTGCGAGATGCCAGTACCCATGAAGCATTCAACTTGGACACGAACAAGGTCAACAATGGACATGTCCTCAAAATCAAGGTATGTATTTCTGCTTATTAGTGCAATCAGGTATACATAGAGTCTGGTTATTCATCACATGACGTATACTTTAGAGTCTGGTTGTTCATCACGTGACGTATACTTTAGAGTCTATTAATTTGTTCATCGCTACGTGCATATGCATGTCGTGCCCCTTCATTGAATACACCGATATCCTCATTTCACTTTGAGCTGTGAATTCGGCCACACCACTTGCGCTCTGTCTCAGCGATGTTGCGATCACGAACAGACACACACACAGACACACACACACACTGTCAAGATGCACTACATGTACATGTAGGTATTCGTGATCGGCATGCAGCATGGTGACACAGTAAACCATGGTGTGTACAGGTAGCCGCCCAAAAGGGTGCACCTTAAGCAATACGGTGTGAGCTGTCGTAGGTCAAGGGAGTGTTGGATACATCAGGACCGGTGTAAAACCTTATACATAAAGAGAGAAGGCGACATTGAACTGTTTTCTAGAGTCGAGCGACCTGTCCAAGAACAACACTGAGACTGCATGGATCCATCAACCTGAAACGAACCAGCAGCCTCGAAGTCTCCGCTAGAAGGCGGTCGACAGAGGCACTTACTTTTGAAGTATAATTATAGGACTTTTGAAATTGTACCAGATACAATGGCATGTAATAGCTGGAGGAAGTTGAAATTGGAAAATGTCTCAAGACAACAGATCAAATATCGCCAATAACAAAACAACATTTTCAAACAACCCCTTTAACAAACTCTCTCACACTCGCACACCAATGCACATACAGTGCAGTACGTACTTGAAGTACACACAATTATTCACACATGCTCTCTCCACCCATATGTCCTTCACTCTCTATCTATCTATAATTCTTTCCCTCTCTCAATCTCTCTGGGTCTATTTTGTGACATAACCAGTACACAACCCTCAAGAACATGTCTCTCTCTCTCTCTCTCTCTCTCTCTCTCTCTCTCTCTCTCCACCTCTCTCTCTGTCTGTGTGTTCAGGGCAACACAAATATGGTACGAATGCTGAGACGCCTGGTCGCGAGGCAATCGGTGTCGGATAGTATGGACTCTGCGAGCGGCTCAATGTCCATGTCGACGTCCATGTCTGATTCCGATTCCGCTGCTGCGGCCGCCGCTGCCGCTGCAGGTCCCGCGGCTGCACGAGTAGGAGATGCAGAGCTAGTCCTTACAGGTGAAATGCTATCCAGGCTGGAACAGCAAGCGCTGGCATACAATTCCGCAGCCACAGCCTCGCATTTCAGCCTTTCCGCACTGATCGGAAAGGGTGCTTGGTCTATGATCGCACTGTGGATTGCAGCCGTATGGCTTCTACTATAGGTTGTGCTCATAGCACAGACATTGCTCGTGTGGCTAATGTTACCTGCTCTTGGGATAGACACTGTCTCTGTGGCTCACATAACAGCCCTGTTCAAGGATTCTGCTTTTGTACAGACATTGCCTATAATGGTGTACATTGTACATGGTTGGCATGATAGCCTGATGATCTGTTGTTAGTGCGTGCCGTCAATGGTTGTATACGACACCATCTGCTCCGTAGAACATGAATCTTCTTCAGAACCATCGGCAATTATGTACAGTATGTCTGTGCATACTGTGCGTACGGTACTGCGTCACGTGACAACTCCGTGGATTAAAGATCTCAATTCCTGGGAGTACGAGTCTGAATTATAGTATGCACAGATTGATATTGAATACGGATTGAGCTTGTAAAGTAGAATTAATCTACTGCTATTCACGTTAGTAACCAAGCTGTTGCGTGGTTGGCATCATTCGTGGTCAGTATAAAATATTGAGGAGTGCTCCAAGAATGTTCCCGCTGCCAATTTAACGTCTGTCTCAGGATCTTCCTCCCTCTACCCTACGTGAACCCTACGTGAACCCTACGTGAACCCTACGTGAACCCTACGTGAACCATACGTGAACCCTACGTGAACCCTACGTGAACCCTACGTGAACCCTACGTGAACCCTACGTGAACCCTACGTGAACCCTACGTGAACCCTACGTGAACCCTACGTGAACCCTACGTGAACCCTACGTGAACCCTACGTGAACCCTACGTGAATACAACATCAGCAGTTTTCATGTACCTCCTTTCGCTTCTTCATTTTGCTTTTAAAGTAAAGAAAATGATCCAATGATTTTTTGAGGTTTTCTAGAAACAGTTTTTTTAAGATGTTTTAAAGTTTAAGACGTTTGAACGCTTACAGGTTTACTCACTCTCCCTCAACTTCTACCACTCCTTACTGCTCGTGACTTCTACCACTCCTTACTGCTCGTGGCATGATGTCAGAACAACTACACGTCATGAATAGGTTGAGCACATGATTGTAGGTGCTTTATTTTCATTCTGTCTTGCTCAATTTGAATTCTAATTTCTTCTGCCAAATAGCGAGACACGATGCACATCCATATCCTTATACACGTTCAGTCACAGCAAGAGTCCATAACCCCCCCCCCCCAGAGTGTGCAACTCCAGGTTGGGGTCTGGCGCAACGAAATCCAAACATTGCGTCATCCGGTCCCCGGGCAAGCATGGGCGGATGGGGCCATGTGCATATCTGGTACATCCGGCGGGGGTTCCAAGTTAGTTGAAGGTTGCTTTGAAGCAAGCCACGGAAGTGTCACGTAAAACGTTTGCTCCACGGGCTATGCAGTGTCAGCAGAACGGCTTTGATTTCACAGTCACAGACTTTTTTTATTTGAAGAGAGTTTCTCTGCTCGTTGTCTGAAAAGCTTGTATTGGGAGAGTTCGTGACTCCGGGATAGCAAGAATAGGCATGGATATAGATTTACAAGATTTGATGGAAATAGCATGTCCGATGAAGGTAGCATACTTTCCAAATACGGAGTAAGCGTATCCAAATCATCGGCACACTCTCCCTCCTCCGTTCGCCCACCAAAGAGACACTCGAAAGTGAATGTTCCTGCTGGGTTCACAACCAGACGGTTCAAATTGACGGGTGTTCCATTGCATGTGAGAAGCACAGACTTCGAGCAATAAATCTCTATCCAGGTGCTGGAAGAATTAACAATTTCCAACACTCGACAATCGAGAGAAGAAAATGAGGAGCCCAGATCGAGCAAAAACTGACGAATATCGTCCACAGAGACACTGCACTCCGGCGACAATGGGGAGCGCTTTGCTTTAGGTTCAACAGTGGCCATTGTTCTTCTCTTATCGGAGAGACACTCAAAAGAGAAAACTGTTCGACAACTCTGAAATAATTCTCTGTGTACTTGAGCCTTTCCAGGCGTGTTACGTACAATACCTGGCCGTGGATTCGTAAAGAAAGACCCCAAATTGGGCAAACGGGCGAAGTAGGTCCGGGCCAAACTTCCCATTTCGTCATAGCTACTCACTACATGACGTATGAAGTTTGGATTTCGTTGCGGCACTGATTTGTGCTGAGAAGGATCACGAGTTGCACACTCTGGGGGGTTATGGACTCTGGGGTTATGGACTCTTGGTCACAGTGAGACCTTTCAAATAATTGAAATCTAATCACACAAGCCTTCGGAATTGATGGTCAGCTGGGAGAGACTAGGTGCATGGAATGACATACGGGTAGTGGTACTCAACTTGTTCTTGATCTGATCATACAACGGTACTGTACTTGTCATACACGTTAGTAAGTGACTCTTCCTGATCATGACTACCCTTCAGGTTTGTGTATAGAAACGACAGCAGCACTACACGTGGCTATCAGCTCGGTACGATTCTAGTCTGGCGTACAAACTTGGTACTAGTGCCCCCTTCCCCCCCCCCCCCCCCGACTTCCTTCCATGCTGCATGCATAGCGTCATGTACAATTGTCATGTACATACAGTTACAGATCGAAACAGCTGCTAGCTATCAGAGCTGGTGTGCTGTGTGAGTGGTGATGACAGTAAAGTTATGTTCTTCAGACTTTTCCCGTTTGCAACTTTTCCCTCAAACCAATGAATGTGACAGGAGATTGAGTGCAAGGATTCTTTGTTGGATCAAGGCCAGGATCATTGCTGTTTTTAGTTTTCATCCTCGCCCTGTCCACACGACCTTACAGTGCACTTCATTCGAAAATACTAGTTTTGGGTTTGTCCCTTCATTTTTTTCATTTTTATCTCCTCTTGATGGGTTTTTCGGGCCTCTTTTTTGTAGTATTACATTGTACTGTTGAGCCACCAAAATAAAATAAATTCAATTCAATACAATACAAAACAAAACACACAAAAAATACAGTCCCTAGTCTCATACACATCCTGTACCAAGCCTCTTTTTGTCTCATACACGTCATTAATATTTTGTTTTGCTCATGCACTTATACCGGTACTTTCAGCAAAGAAGTACGTACATGTTAGCAGTGGCCCACGATGACAGCAAATAATTCAGCCTTAACCATTAAACAGTTACAGTGGTTATCAGTTGCAGGGCTTCTTTTGCCAGGACACCTTTATCAAAATCTTTAAAATCAGTAGAATGCACATCCATGCCTTTCAACCGGTTGGGTTAGTTAATCAACGCCTGCCGCGTTTAGTTCGGAATGCAGCAATGCCTGATTGCATGCACATTTTTAAGAGTTTTTAAAGTGCGGGATCGTGTACATACGAGCAGATAGAGCCTCAATCATATAGAGAGTACCGCATGGGTGAAAATACAAAAATATGTAAATGTACTTGAAGTACAGATACAGAAATATAGACCTATGATGTCATTATGACCTTACATAAAGCTCTCCGTACGTACATATAGGTGCACTGAGCATAACTTACTTGAAGTAAGGTTTGGTATAATAGCAGCTCTCTCAACAGTGGTGAATAGCATTGTGAAATATTGTTCATTTATAGTCTGACGCACGTATAGTTGAAGTTAAATAATGATGCGTCAATCTGTGAAAATTCTTATGCATGAAATTCCACGTACTTGTAAATATAGTTGCAGAGCAATCAAACATGCTGAGTGGATTTATGATCATACGTGGCATGTACTGAGTATATTGTACAACTGCTGTGGCCGTTGTAGAACCAGCCAGTTCTTGTATTGTATACATGCTGTGAGAGTATGAGCAGCTGACCTCTACTCTGTACACAGGAGGAAAGGGGTGAGAAACCTCATCTACTGCCAACCAATGAATGACCGAGAGGCCACAGTCACATCACCATGATATGAGCTGTATAAACTCGTGATGGATTTGATAATAGATACACAATGATGACGTCCTTTCCATAAGTAAAATAAACACATGTTCAAATTGATGACATCATTAGGCTATGATGATGTCATGACAACCTGCTAGCTCACACTAGTAATGAGTGATGTGAGCATAGCAGTGTGGCAGGATCAGGATCAGTAGTCTCAACATTGTTTCGGATCAGCTGGCTGGTATGTCAACATCTTGTTTTAGTCCCGCTTGTAACGTAATGCTGAAGGCCTGCATCATGATCACATCCCTCAAACTAAAGTATGATGTCACGGATGACATCATCATTACTCACACATGGCTGTAGTTGGTGGACTCGGCCCAGTTAGGCTTTACTTGAGGTGCAGGACTACTAGTACCAAAATGAGTCACGGTGTCCTGGTCGGGTTCTTCAAGAGGGCGAGATTTAGGTACAACCGGAGGTGTCCAAGCGGTCGGTTCTGGTAATGGCAGTTCCCTGGATGTCATTGCACTAGCGTTTCGGGAAACAAACGTTCTTCCCTGTTGCGCTTGCCTGCCACCCTTGCTGTCCGAGTGTGTTCGTCGGTGTGACTTCGGACCCTCAGTGCTGTCTTTGCGTTGCATGGGTACTGGACGTGTCAATCCGTCAGTTGTGGGTGTGTCTACCGGTGCAAATGTGCTACTACCCGTGTAGGTAGTGGTCTCGCTAGGACCTGCTGACGGTGACCGACCACGGCGACTGCGTGCGGCCGGTACAGGTGTGCGGGAAGTGTGACGTTTCAAGTCAGTGGTCTAGAAAACACAACACAACATATCACCCACCTTGTGTTAGTGGTTATCAGATTTAGCTCATTGTAATGGTAGTGGTCAGGTTTAGTAGATATCAGGATTCTGTAACTTTAGGAGTGATATTTCAAGAAGCGTAACGGAAGACTAAGGATTATGTTAGAGCAAGTTAGTAGCAGCCGTATTATTCAGAGTAAAAGATAGCTCACTATGTTACAATGAAGTAATTCCACCTCCACCACATGCTATTCCAGTTATGTTTCTGAAGTCCATTTCTCCGAAAAGCAAGCGATAACAATAATAGGATTTCGGCCAAGTTTTGTCTTGTAAGCACTGAATTGGGAAAGGCCATGAAAATCCAATCTGTTTCACACCACTTTCATCACTGCATTGTCCTGTTCGAACCCCAGTTGAGGTACCTTTTCCGAACCCTTTTTCTAACCTCAAATTTCACGCACTGCACTGTGTACGATAAAATCATGAAGAAATCGCCAAATACGGGAGCTCGCCAGAGCCAGCGCTCATCTTTGTATGAATGGACTGTAAAAGAAAACTCAAAAACACAAAGCAGTGCGTACATACCTGCGCCCCCTCCACAGCCGGGGTATTGTAACCAGGTCCTGGGGTCCTTTCGTACGGATTTCCCCCGGGAACTTGATCAGATTCTGCAGCACTGTCCTGAGCACTGAGCTGCTCCGACTTGCCACTACGCGTGCGGCCTGGCTCAATAGGCTGTGACAGTTTCTTCATGGCTAGAGGGTATTGTGTGGATTCGGTAGCCTGCCGCTTGCTGCTGGATCGTGGACTGCTGTCCTCTCCATCACCTACAACTCTGAACATACAAACATCAATAAAACAAAATACCAAGATACTTTTCAGAGCACTGTTTTTCAAGGCACTTTCTCCGTCTGTTCTTGAAATTCTAGCTATATGGTAAGAGGAGTTAGACGAGAAGGCAGACATGCCTGTGTAAACGGTGAAGAAAATTAAAACAAGCAAACCAACACAACGTACACTGGCAGTATCGACTCATTACTGTATTGACTCTTTATTGTACACTGAATGATCATTATCTCCACACCATGTCAAGACATACGCTCAATGCCGCCTGCCAATGTGCAGGAAATGGTTTGCACTAGCATCCAACAATGGCATCTCCTTATGGCTCGACCTTGGTTTAGCTAAGATGTAATGACGTTTCAGCAAGATGTTTTGATAAGAGGAATCAACTCCCAATACAGTATGTAATGGAATGTTAGGTACTTCCTCTTGTACATTACCTCCTTCTACAACCTCTTCCTGCTGGCCTGGGTGTGCACCTCATGCTTACTCACGTACTCACCTTTTGTACCATTGACCTGCGTAGCTACTTGCGCACCCATATTTGCCACAGGTACCCAGGCCCTTTATCTTGCTTTCTTTCTCTCTCTCTCTCTCTCACTCTCTCACTCTCTCACTCACTCTCTCTCTCTCTCTCTCTCTCTCTCTCTATCTCTCTCTCTCTCTTTCTCTCTCTCTTTTTCATCATGCAGACATTTAGTTTGTCTTTCTCTTCGTCTCTCCGGCTCTCTAATAAATGTTGTCGTACCACCTACCTGTTCCATTGTCCCCCTGCTCAACAGTAGTATACTGGTCGGATTCAAGTTGGAAAAGATTTTGCTCAGCTCCTGTCTACACATGTCACACTATTCTTACCTTTCATTGCTGGTTATTGTCATGCCGGCCATTGATCCGTTTGCGTGTGGCTGAGATAACTCTGCAATGTCACAACATCACAACACAGAGGACTTCTGTTAAATACAATCAATCAAACGGCTACAAAAAGATCGTCTTTGCTTTTACGAAATTCCATTCTACTGGGCCGAAATTGTTTGTCGCATTCAATACAATCACAGGGAAAGGAATGATTATTGATTAGTCTGAGGGAGTGGCAAACCAGAAAGGTCTCCAGACACATTGACTGTCACAACCAGGACTGGAGCCCGATAACCTCGCTTACGGCCAGAGGAATGATTGGTGACGTTTTCCGGGTGTATGATTTACTACATTGAAGTTCCCCAGCCATGTAAAGGATTGTATGTGTGTCCCCGCCATTCACTAGACTGTATCTAACCCAGCCATTCACTAGACGGTGTGCACCCCAGTCATGCACTAGACTGTGTGCACCCAGTCATGCAATAGACTGGGTGCACACAGTCATGCAATAGACTGGGTGCACACAGCCATGCACTAGACTGTGTGCACCCCAGTCATGCACTAGACTGTACTCAATCTGCGGACAGAACTGTGTCGTCTTTTGTGGACTCATCAGCGCAGCACAGAGGAAAAGAGGCCAAAACAGATAGCCATGAAAAATAAACTGTATGTGTGTCCCAGTCATGCGATAGACTGTGATTGTATTCAAGCCATGTAATAGACTATAATATGCATTATGCATTCCAGCCATGAAATAGACTTACTTCTAATGAGCCTGCGATCTCGTTTCTTGTGTTTGAAAAGACAGTAGAGACTGAACCCGGCCAGGATCAGCAGTACAGCAGTGGCAATGATCAGGGCTATGGACCACAGTGGCAGCATCTCCAGCGGACCTTTCACACGATTCACTTCCTCACCGGGCAGACCGCCACCTGTTCAGACAGTGTAGGTGTGTGTGTGTGTGTGTGTAGGCGTGTGTGTAGGCGAGTGTAGGTGTGTGTAGAGGTGTGTGCATGTGGAGGTGTGTGTGTGGAGGTGTGTGTGGAGGTGTGTGTGTGTCATGTGGCAAGCAAGGTTGTGTGTGTGTGTGTGTGTGTGAATAGGACAAACAGAAAACAAAACACAACTTACATACACATAATGTGGGAGATGACGATTGCTAGGTTCACATTAGGCCGGTTTTTCGGCTGACGTGAAACAGCATGCAAAATCCTGAAGATCGTCGCAAAAATTACAATTACCTGGTGTGAACCGAGTTGTTTTACAAGGTTTGGACAATCTGCGGCAATTCTCTTAGAGGGTCATCTAACCAATCGATGCCAGCTTTTCACCACGACAGGAGAAAGGGTTGACGTTAGGTAGCGCACACTAGTACACTTCACTTGTCGATAGTGCACACGTCACTCCGTACAATCCAGTTAATGCTCACGTCACTCCGTACAATTCAGTTTAGTCAGTGTACGGCTGCTGGGACTCAGCACAGTGCACTGAGCCAGCTGTGGATGGTGCGACTTTGAGGTCGCCCTGGACGACTGTTCATGTCGAGTTCCTATCTTGATCTCTTGTACTTTTCTCCTCTTGATGAAGCGGAGAGGCTTATATAATACAGCTAGCGACTATGTTGGTGTAGTTAGAAGGAAACATTGGTCTTCTCAAGGAGAACTACATGTAGATATATCTTGTTCCATTCGTAGACTTTCAAAAGCTACATGTACTTCAGCTGTCGGAAAAACGTTTTTGTTTCTCTTCGAACTCCAGAAATCGTGCAGCTGACTTCTGGGCTCCTCGCGTTCCAGTTCCTCTAGCCCATACCTGCATTGGAAATGTATTTGGTATAATACATTCATGAGAGATGCCAGTATGGTTTACTACAAAAACCTGATTGGTTGCGGAAGAGCTTAAACGTTATCCAGCAATCTGGAATGTGAAAGCGAAGGTGAGATTGCCACAAGAGGTTTCTGGCTGGGTCAAGCGTCCTTCTTCAAATACATGCTATGTTGACTAAAGTGGAGGCTATATGTGTGAAGGCAGTGTCTTCTGTATGTAGACCTGCAATGTGCAACTAGCCAGACAAACAAAACGCTTGCCCTTTGTGAGAACAGCCCGTCAGACACGTTCTACACATGAACCGTGAGGGCATGGTGAAGACACACACGTGATCGTCACCAGCCGTTCATTCCAGGATGCATATCAACTATCGCAGTGTTGCAAATATCAGCAGAAGATCCAAGTACTGGGTTTCTCGCTGGAAAACGTGAGGGAGTATGCAAGGAAGACAATCGATGCCGAAGGGGTAGAAGTTGTGTTTGCAGAGCTACAGAGCAAGCCAGATGTGTCTGGAGACGATGTAGTGTCTTAGCTGTGGTATGAATCCTGGGCTGCTTTGCCTTGCATGTGCTGCAGCTGAAGAGGATAATGTTCACTTCGTTTGAAGCGATCGCCACTCACTTGAATGATGACTCGAGTCTTCGGCTAAGACCCCAAAACACAATGTATAGGGATGCTAAACCACACGGCTACCTTGGGTATGCTGATCTTGGTGAGTGTGGGTCCCCTCTCCCCGTACAGGTCCCCCTACCCCTACCTCCCGCAAAATCGCAACTGTTCGTCCATTGGTTCGTGTTACTTTCCGAGATGAAGGGTTTCATTATTGCTTTTCAGGTGTTGCTGCATGACTGCACTACTTCGCAACACCCTTTTCGTTTGTGCTTTGCCCGTTTGGGCATTCCGTAAAGAGAACGATACTACGCTTTCCCTTGCACGTACGACTCACTTTGCATACCTTTCTTATAATCACATGAGAACAGGAGCAGGTCAATAAAGAACACCTTCTACTCAACAAGAGAAATTTGGAGCTTGTGTCTGTTGCAAGGGTTGTGGTACGGGGCGCTAAGATCTCACCGAAACACCGGGGATACAATTGTATCATTACATTGCAGGTTTCCATGGTATTATTCCGATGGTTGGTCAGGTCATCGCACAGGCCAAACCTTCTGCACATTAACCCATGTCTAGTGCTGATGAGGGCATATCTATCCGCCGTATCATTCACAGAATTTAATAACGAATTCAAGAAAAGTCTATGGTGTGAGAGGACCAATCAAAAAATTATTCCTGTGGTCCTGTTTTGTCAAAATCCAATGTTTCATTCGGAGTCCAGTCCAGTCGTTTAACTTTCTTCCCAGCCCCAGCCATCACATCAGTACCATCAGTGTTTATTGAGTGGTCATGACTCACACAATGTAATACACTGTACAAGTGATACATAGCTTCTTCAACAGCACCCCCTTACGAGACCTTCCTAAGGGTGCCCCTTACGAGACCTTCCTAAGGGTGCCCCTTACGAGACCTTCCTAAGGGTGCCCCTTACGAGACCTTCCTAAGGGTGCCCCTTACGAGACCTTCCTAAGGGTGCCCCTTACGAGACCTTCCTAAGGGTGCCCCTTGCGAGACTGGAATTGTGTGGTCTTTGAATGTAGGGAGCATGTGAAACGAAGGTTATAATCATTTGCAAATATCCTCCTACAAACCAGGTAGGTTATTGCTGACATCGAGCGACTCCTACAGTGCGTTTCAAAAGTATAGACCTATAGACTTTCAAGCAACTCAAATTTGGTTAGAGCTTTTTGAGAAATTTCTTCCCAGTATTTCTCAGGCAGCTCACGCAATTGTTCAAATATAAATCCCTAAGCAATTGGATAACAGACGCCCAATTTCTAAAATTGTATGCACAAAGTGATCACATATTTTGTGTGGTATAGATGCTGGCCTAACGGTTTTTTGAAACCACAGGTCTGGACTTTTGAAACGCACTATAGGTCGGTTTCATCCGCTCATGGGGACTGTAAAATAGTCCAAAAGCAGTGCGCCAGTCCTGCCCAAACCACTGTAGTCCTGCAGTTAATTAGTGTGCAAACCCGACATCATGATGACATCGACATGACATCATAATGACATCATACTGCATGCGTTCTACTCACCGAATCTGAGAGTCATGGGTTCCATGGCCAGTCCACCGTGACTGTGTGCACGACATGAGTACTTGGTGAGGTCTCTGAACTCCACATTACGGATAGTCAGTGTAGTCGTGACCACTGTGTATTGAACATTATCTTCACCTGGGATCTCAGCAACTTCCTCAGACTCTATTGAATATCTGCAGTAACAAATTCATGATTTGGACAGAAATGGAAACAAGAGTGGATGGAGGTGAGTAAGATTAGTGGGGTAAGGACGATGACACGGACATGGGCAGATGTAAGAACAGTTTGTAGACACTCACATTCACACAACCATGCACTCACACAACCATGCACTCACACACCCATGCACTCAAACACTCGTGCACTCACACACCCATACACTCAAACACTTGTGCGCTAACGCATTCCCACTCGTGCACGCGAGGAGTTGGTGAATTTTAGGGTCTTTTCCAGCACATAGAACACTTCATATGTGCGCGCATGTGCATGTGTGTGTGTGCACGCGTATGTGCATGCATGTGCGTGTATGTGTTGTGCGTGTGTGTATAATAACTTACTTAGACTTCTCGCAGCATGTGTCCGTGATGGCATCCTGTTCTCTGTACCATGTGATGTTGGGTTGTGGAACTCCTGTCACATTGCAGGATAGCCAAAATGACTCGCCCAACTTCACAGTCCGTGCTTGTGATCGTACTCCCAGCACTGATGGAGTTGCTGTTGGATTAATAATATTGTGCAGACAAATACACAAACACACGTATCCATGCACAGACACACACACACACACACACACACACACACACACACACACACACACACATACAAGACAAGACAATCACATGCACACACACACATGCACACACACACACACAGACACACACACACACACACACACACACACACACACACACACACACACACACATGCGTGCACACATACGTGTTAGTACGCATTCATACTCATATACTGCTCACACATGCATACACTGTAATATGTATGTGCACACAGCGCATCACACAGAAACATACACATTTCACATGAATCTAAACCCTGTCCACAAGCATATTGACAAACATGAGTGCTCATACCTGCATCCACGTGCACATGCAAAGAAACATACGCAAGCTTAAGGTGGTATTTCTCCAAGTAGTCATTATGAACATCACAGAGCATGTACATGGGTTGTTTTCAAACTAGTGACTGTCCAACACATTGAACAACCCAATAACAACTATGACATCATCATTACATCATTCACTTACAGTACACATCCAGAGTGATGTCAGCTGATATCATACCAAACATGTTGCGCAATACCACATGGTAGTTGCCACTGTCGTGCAGTCGGGCATTGTCAATGCGCAGGTTATTGTCAGCTGTTTTACCAATACGCCCTTCAGCACCACACAAAACAATAGAAAACAAAAACTGATTACAGCCCTCTTCTTGGTATATTAAGCAGAACATATAACCCCTGTCATCTTCCCATCGTCTCTGCCTCTCCGTCCCTCCATCTCTCCGTCTCTCCCTCTTCCTGTACTTGTATCCCTGTCAGTCTGTCAGTCTGTCAGTCTGTCATGCACCAGCCATGTAGGATGGCTGGTGCATGTCATTCATGGTCATCCTGTGCATGGTGAACGTAGGCCGAAAATTTCAAGGGGTGCCCACTGCGGGCTACGCCTCTGTACACACACAGTCTCACACACCAGCACCAATATGAATACCTTACCTGGCTTGCCAGCCGGTCGGTTTCCTTTCGGCACGGTCCACTCGACAGTGGGTGCTGGTAATCCGGACACGTTTAGCCGCAGCAATGCCTGTTTACCTAGGACGGCAAACTGGCTAACTTGCAGATTGTTCAACTCTGGTGGACCTGCATAATGTAGAGTACACAGCACAGGAGCAGGAAAGTGACATTATTTGAGCATGCACATTGTACGGTATATGCCTCTCCTACGTGGCTGGGATTTCAGAGTGACTGAAGTATGGGTGTAGTCAATATTATATCTGTACAGTGATCGGGGTATGGATAAAGACATTGCACGTGTGCATTCGTGCAATGATCAGAGTTGGTAGGGCACGGCAATTGAGAGACTCTGACCACTGCACGAATGTACATTGCCAAAACTGGTTAAGCACAATGCCCCGGTTCACAGGGCACTCTAGCCTATACATTTACAAACAGTGCAAGAGTCAACTTCCTACATTTACAAACAGCGCAAGAGTCAACTTCCTTTCACTGGATCAGGCTCCTGTTTACCTTGGGAATTAAACCGAGCATTAAAAATTCCTAATTGGCCATTGGCCAAGGTGAAAATGAAGATTTCAAACAACAAACAGATAAACGAAAAAACAAAACAAAAAATAAAAAACAGCGGACAAACAACAGACAAGAGACAACCAAACAACAGACAAACAACAGACAAACAACAGACAAGAGACAACCAAACTCACCCTGTACTTCTACCCGGGTGGCTTGTGATCGCGTCTCTCCCAAACTGTTCTTGGCATAACAAGAGTAGGATCCCATCACATCGCTAGCACTGTTGTTAACGATCAACTCAGATTGTACTGCAATCGCTCCAGACTTCAACTTCACCTCTTCCTCCAGAAACTGCAGTCTAGACGTGCCTAGCAACTGCGCGTTCATATCCATGGCAACGCCATTCCGTCTCCATGACACTTTGGGAAGGGGTTTCCCCGTGACGGCGCAGGACAGACGCAGTGTTTGCGACACGTTGATAGCTACTCTGATGAGTGGCTCAACTGCAAAGCTTGGTGTGGCTGCCAATGGAACACACATACACACACGTACACACACATGCACACAACATACATAAAACATGCACACACAGACACAGACACACACACACACACACACACACACACACACACACACACACACACACACACACACACACAGAGGACATGGAACGTAGTAATGTTAGCTGTACACTACACACAGAAGCCAGAATAGCAGGAAGTGACCGGTGTCTCCATCAGAAATGTTGTCCTAATACATGGGATAGTGGAACAAATCTTGGCTCATCGCAAGGAAACAAGCACCGCTGTGTACTGCAAACTCATGAAAGTCTTCTGCTCCCCTTGCCAGTCCCCTGCCTTGCACTCCATATCTGGCCTGTACCCCACCAACCTGCCCTTCCTCCTGCCCCTCTCCCTCCCTATCCCCTTCCACCACCACCACCACCACCACCACCTCTACCCTCGCTATTGAGGGCGTCATCTTGCCGGAGACCCTTCGGGAACAGTAGAGAAATTTTACGATTTTGACTGCCTTATGCATATACAGTAGCGTCAGGTGGCGAAGAACGAGCATGCTAGAATTTCACCAAGCACAGCATGCTAGAATTTCACCAAGCACAGCATGCTAGAATTTCACCAAGAACGAGCATAGCAATGTATACACGGTGACTCACAGCATAGCAATGTATACACGGTGACTCAACTGTGCATAGACCGTACTACAGGAAGATAGGAATGGCCAAGGCTAGGAGGCAATCCCCCCCCCCCCCTTTTCTTCAGCACCCAAACGTACTGTAGTGTTAGACAACAGACTAGTTAGTTAGACAACAGACTAGTTAGTTAGACACAGACATGTCAATATCACGACAATCAGCACTGCAGCTTTGAAATGTCCGTAACTCCGAATCACATACATTTTGATGGGGAAAGGCCATAGATATGGCATGCGGTGTCACTATTTCCACAAAAAGTGACTAAAGAGTAGTAATATTTCCACTAAGATCCACCCAAAGTGTGCCCGGCAGCAGACCGAAGTGCCCGTAACTTCAGTGTCCGGATAACTGAGGCATGAGTGTATCACCACCAGCAGCACAACAGCTCACAACAGCACAACAGCTCATAGCAGCTCACAACAGCTCACAGCAGCTCACAGCAGCTCACAACAGCACAACAGCTCACATCATCAGCACAGCAGCTTACCTTCTACCTTGATCCTTGCTGTTGCCATATCAATGCCGGCGTTGTTACCGACAAAGCACTGATAGTAGCCATCATGCTGCACATCCACCGACTCTAGGGTAATGGTTGCCGTGGTTTCAACCATGCGCTTGCCGTTATGATACCATGACAGCGCAGAATACGGCGTGTTGGTGACAGTGCACGCTAGGGTTACTAGGGCACCGGGTTTGACTGTTTGCATTGCAGGTTTTAGCGACGGAGCTGGTTTTTCTGTAAAGTTGGACAAGAGAAAGAAGGTGGACAAGAGAGAGAAGGTGGACAAGAGAAAGAAGGTGGACAAGAGAAAGAAGGTGGACAAGAGAGAGATGCAGCATTCATTGGTTATAAGAAAGTCAATCTTTTATCACCTGAAAACCAAAATGGAAAACGGGATTGTCGAATAACAGCCCGGGTTTAACCCCTATGTGACCAGTATACCGAGGCCCAAGTATTCTGGGTCGACATATAAACCCAGAAATGTACCAATATACAACATTCCTGTTGAACTGCACGACTGCACATAACTATAATGTATATAGATCACTGATACATGGGGATAACTATCTTTTTTACATGTTCTAGTTCTGTCCTTGGCCCTCACATCACAATACACAATGTAGAAGTGTTTGGCACCTGGCTGACCAGAGAGGCCAAGTCCCTATCAGTTCATGATAGAAACGCCCCTTGCCGTTTATAATAGACAAGCCCTACCAGTTCGTGATAGATGAGCCCCATAAGTTCATGATAGACAGACCAGCCCCTTGCAGTTCACAATAAGCAAGCCCCTGTCAAGCCAGGACAGCCTAGCCCTGTCAGTTCATGATCTAGATAAGTCATACCTTGGACTAGCAGATGGATGAAGTGATTGCTGACTTCGCTCTCCGAACGCGCCGTAATACGGTAGTAACCGCTATCAGTCACCCGCACAGACTTGATCTGAAGATTGCCTTGGCCAAGACGGAGGAATCTATCTGCTGGCAACTGACCACTCTTTAGCTTTGACCAGCTAATGGTGGGATTGATGCGAGCTGTTGCCACGGTCTCTATGATGAGATTGTCACCGACGGTTGCTAGTATTGGCCGAGTGCTACGTGATGGAGGCAGCTTCTGGAATGTAAGGACGGGATTTAGAGTTTCTGCAGGTAACAAGCAAGTACACACAAACAGCACAAAGGAGAGATAGGATCACTGTTGCAGGGCCGTCATGCTCTGTGAGCCGTCATGCTCTGTGAGCCGTCATGCTCTGTGAGCCGTCATGCTCTGTGAGCCGTCATGCTCTGTGAGCCGTCATGCTCTGTGAGCCGTCATGCTCTGTGAGCCGTCATGCTCTGTGAGCCGTCATGCTCTGTGAGCCGTCATGCTCTTGCAGGGCCGTCATGCTCTGTGAGCCGTCATGCTCTGTGAGGACTGATGTAATAACTACACACATGGACATCCTTCTGTTGCTAGCAGTATGTGTAGCAGAAACAACCTGATATAATGCCGTATAGCACTACATAGACATAGAGATGCATCCCCCATTGGCACTGAAATCGGGCATGGGAAAATGATCGGCCATGCAGTCGACCTGGGGCCATACCACCCCTTT